TTAGGAATGCTCAATTAGAGCTTTCAAATATTTTTCGTATAATAATAATAAGGAGAAAAGGAAAGAGAAAAACATGGCACACTATATCTACTTTCATTCTTATGCAATATTTTGTCAAACTTAATAATTTTGGGTTGAAAATCTACTAATTCTTTGAGAAATATTTTCTAAATGATTTCCCAATTTTATATAATTCTACTAACAACTAGATTTGGTAAAAAGTCAATTGAAAATAATTTTAAGCATATAATTAAATTGTGTGCCTATGTTATATTATTTTATACTTGTTGGATTACCAATTTAATACAAATCAATGATATTGTAGGCACTCAAATGAAAAATATAAAATAAAAGAGAACCTCAATAGTTATCCTTATATTGAGATGGTCTAATATTTAAAAAATTACTAAGAATTTAAAATGTGTTGAGTTTTAATTTGTAGGTATATTTTTTAAAATTCATTATACAAAACATTTTTACATGAAAAATATTTAGAAAAATGACATTATTTAAATGTATGGTGAGGATAGAGAGAGGGGAAAAAAAAGTGATCAAAGATAGATATCAAACTATCAGTTCAAGTGAATTAATGTACTGTACAATAATCTTTTTAAAGACAAAACTATCTTTTTATTCTTTTCTTTTTAGAAAATATATCATCCGTCACAATAAATACAAAAGACGAGAAACAAAGAATATTTTCTAAATAGTAATAAATTAGATGATATTATGACATATTATTACATCTTAACATGACAGTTATTGATTATAATGTGGTGATATTAAATGTATTAATTAATTTTCATTTGAGTTGCACTGTGGAAGGTGGCTGCGAAGGTAGTGGCATTTGAGTTACAGGTAGACAACTTGATCACATCAGATGACGTGAATGTAAATGTTCACATCAGATGACGTTGTGATAAAGGTGATGTTAAGGTTCACATTAACATTGCATCAAATTACACAACCACAAGCCTCAACTTTCATTTGAATATAAACATGACTATATGTGATGACGTGAATGTTCACATTAGATGACGTGAATGTGAATGTTTACACTAGATAACTGTTAGTGGGAGTGGGGTGCAAACCACTGTTGGTGATTCACAATGAGAGATTTAAAACTGCACCAAACTAAAATTTAAATTCACTCAAAATAATTCTGAGAAAACAAACAAACAGAGCACTCTATTATTTCTTTCTCCCACACACTTATCACTTCGATTCATTAGTTATTTATAGATAAACTAGAAATGTGAACACATTAAATGCAACTACAGCTAGCAGTGTGAACGCATTAAATGCAACTACGGCTAGCAATGTGAACGCATTGAATGCTAGCAGCCAACCATATTTGAAAATCTTGATTTCAGCCATACTCCTTCTCTTAGGCCGGTGGAAATTATTATAGGTGAAGCAAGATTACTTCACAATATCTCCCCTTAATCTTGATTCTCAATGCGGCTTCATCCCGAGCATTTTCTTAATTCTGTTGTCATTTTTCAATGGCTTCGTGAAAATATCTGCAAGCCGAACTGGAGATTTGCAAGGAAATAATTCCACCTCTTTATTTTTCACATGTTCTTGAATGAAATGATAGCGGGTGTTAATATGCTTACTTCTTTCATGATAAACTGGGTTATTTGCCAATGCAATTGCTGAGCGATTATCAATATAGATCTCAGTGGGTTTTTCTTGTGGAAATCCCAAATGCTTCAGCATGTTCTGTAACCATATTGCATGGCACACAGCTGAGTTGGCTGCAACATACTCAGCTTCGCAAGTCGATAATGTTATAATGACTTCTTTCTTGGATGACCATGTGAAGACTGTTTCTCCCATAAAGAAAGTAAATCCCGTAGTACTTTTCTGTTCATCCAAGTCACGTCCCCAGCCGCTATCTGAGTAGCCAACAAGACTGAAATTTTCAGTTGGTTTATAGAATAAACCATCATCGACTATACCTTTAATGTAGCGAAGAATCCTCTTTACTGTATAAAGGTGTGACTCATCTGGTGTTTCCATATATCTGCTAAGCAGTCCTACTCCATAGAGTATGTCTGGCCTGGTGCAAGTAAGATAGTGAAGACTTCCAACTAGGCTCTTGAAGTAAGTTGGATCCACATCACCTGCCTTTGTACCTTTTTTGAGCTCCACTCCACTGTCTACAGGAGTGTTCACTGGATTGCAATTTTCCATTCCGTGTCTCTTGAGAATTTCCTTGGCATAACCACTTTGGGAAATAAAAATTCCATCTTTTCTTTGTGCTACTTTAATGCCGAGAAAATGAGCTATCAATCCAATATCTGTCATTTCAAATTCTTGGACCATGCTTCTTTTAAAGTCTTTGAACATGGCTGGATTGTTTACGGTGAAAATTAGATCATCAACATAAAGACAAGCAAGCAACATGCTTCCATCAGCTTCCTTCTTCAAATATAGTACGTGCTCATATAGACATTTTTTAAAACTATTGTCATGAAAATACTGATCAATTCTAGTATTCCATGCACGCGGAGCTTGCTTCAATCCATAAAGTGCTTTCTTCAATTTGTACACTTTGTCTTTATGCCCATTCTGAACATACCCCAAAGGTTGTTCAATATAGATTTCTTCTTCATGGAAACCATTAAGAAATGTAGATTTCATATCAAGTTGATAAATCTGCCACTTGTGTTGGGCAACCAAAGAAATCATTAGCCTGATAGTCTCCAATCGAGCAAATGGAGCAAACACCTCTCCAAAATCAATTCCAACTCTCTGTTTGTAACCTTTTGCTATTAACCTTGCCTTATAGCGTTGCAATTCGCCTTGTGCATTCCTCTTTGTCTTGTATACCCATTTCACTCCAATGGGTTTGTGCTCCTCCGGTAGACTGGTAAGCTTCCATGTGTCATTTTTCTCAATGGCATGAATTTCTTCATCCATTGCTTTCTTCCATTTATCTTCTTGGATGGCTTCTGAGAAAGTAAGTGGATCACTATTTGCAAGTAGGCAGAACAAATTCAGATATGCTTTTTCTGTAGCTTCATATATCTCCTGCAAATTTCTCATTGGTCTTGGTTGTTTGAAAAAACTATCATCTGATGATGCTGATGATGATGATGATACAGCACTTCTGTGAGAAACTGGTGATCTAGATGTCGGTATTCTATGTGGAGGAGTTTATGGCTCATCTTGAACTTCTCTTGTGATTTCAACCGGATCTTTTTTGATGTTTCATCTTCAAGAATGAGTTCTCTATCTTTAACAACTTTATCTTGATTCCAGTTCCAAGCTTCTTCTTCTTTAAATATCACATCTCTACTCATGATCACCTTTCTGGTAATGAGATTATACAACTTGTATCCCATTGTTTTGTCTCCATATCCGACAAGGATACATTTTTCTCCCTTATCATCAAGCTTAGTTCTTCTTACTTCTGGAATCTTGGTGTACGCAACACACCCAAATATTCTGAGATGGTTGACATTTGGCTTATGTGAACTCCAAACTTCTTCTGGAGTCATAGAGTAAAGGCCCCTGGTTGGACATCTGTTCAATAAATACACAACACATGATACGGCTTCAGCCCAAAATTGTTTGGGTAGTCTTTTTCCTTTCAACATGCTCCTTGCCATAGCTAAGATTATGCGATTCTTCCTTTCAGCAACACCATTCAACTGTGGCGTATAGGATGGTGTTGTTTGATGCTTAATTCCATGCTCTTTGCAATAATTCTTGAAAACATCTAATTTATATTCTCCACTTTGATCTGATCGCAATGCCTTGATGTAGTAGCCGCTTTGCTTCTCTACAAAAGCTTTGAATTCTTTGAAGATACTGAACACCTTCGACTTTCTTTTAAGAAAATATACCCATGTCTTCCGGCTATAATCATTAATGAAGGTGAGAAAATATCTATTCTGTCCATTTGACATTGGCTTCAATGGACCACGCACATCAGTGTGCACTAGCTCCAACGGCTTTATTGCTCTCCACTTCACTTCTTTGGCAAATCTAGTTCTATGATGCTTGCTAAGAATGCAGCTTTCACAGACCTCATTAGTATGAGCAATATGAGAGAGCCCTTTCACTATATTCTTGCTTGACAACAACTTCAAGCATCCAAAGTTGAGATGTCCAAACCTCAATTGCCATAACCAGTCTGTCTTTGATGATAGTACTTAAACACTTCGCAGCATCATGTTGGATGTTCAATGCAAACATCTGATTCTTAGACATTCTCACCCGAGCAATCAAATTACCATGATTGTCTTTAATGGTAATATGACAATCTTTCATGCTGATGTCGTATCCTTTCTCTAGGAGTTGTCCCATACTCAAAATGTTGTTCTTCGTGGCAGAAACATAATAAACATTGGAGATGTAATCAGGATCTCCATTCTTGAGCTTGATCAGAATATTGCCTCTTCCTTTCACTAGAGTCTTTGAAGAATCACCAAATGAGAGTTGTGCTTGTACAGTCTCGTCAAGATCAACGAACAACCCTCTTTTACCACACATGTGATTACTGGCTCCCGAATCTAGATACCAAACATTGTTTTGGTTTTCAGTGTGTCCATGGTGGACAAATAGGATTGTAGGTTCAACTTTGTTTATTTCCTACTCGGCAAAATTTGCTTGCTCTTCGACTTCTGTTGTTGCTCTACTTCGGCATTCATTGCTGTAATGCCCAAACTTGTGGCACTGGTAGCACTGAACATTGCTTTTGTCAACTCTTGTTCGGTTGTTGTAACCACCTCCTCTACCTCTTGCTCTTCCTCTTGAAGCAAAGTGTGGTTGACTTCTTCCTCCTCTGGCTGGACCTTTTCCGCCTCTTCCTCGAAAACCAGAACTTCGGTTATTGTAACCATAGCCTCTACCTTGGCTTCTTTGTGATGTCCCCCTTGCTCGTTTCTGTCATCTCTGAAAGAAAGCTTTGATTGAAGAGCTTGCTTTAGAGAACTTGAGGGAGTCTTCTTGTTGATCCTTTGTTCATGAATCTCAGGTGTGCCCATCTACTCATCGGTTGCCCTGGCACTGAGATCCTTGGACTCTTCTATTGCTACAAATACGTGCTCGAACTTGGGACTCTGTGATCGGAGAATCTTCTCTATCACTTGAAGAGATTTCATCTGCTCTCCGTATCTTCTCATCTGATTAACAATGGCCAATGTTCTGTTAAAATACTCAGAAATTGACTCATTCTCATTCATGTGCAGCATCTTGAATTCGCCATGTAACATCTGGAGTTGAACTCTGATCGTCTTCTCAAATCCGCGGTATGAATTGCGAAGAATACTCCATGCCTCTTTAGAGGTTGCTACTGTTGAAATCTTCTTAAAGCTTGACTCATTAATGCTTCCATAGAGTAGATACAAGGCCTTTTTATCTCTCCTCCTTGAATCTTTTAACGTCATCTTTTGAGCATCATTTAAATTTCCTTCATCTGTGAGAGTAACTGGCTCATTATATCGTCGATCCACTAACTCCCACAAATCTTGTGAGGCTACTAGGATTTGCATTTGAATACTCCAATTTTTATAGTTCTCCTTGTTGAGTTTTGGAAACTGGGGCTGAAAGAAGTTGTTTGTGTTGGCCATTGGTTGTCTTTAAAAATTTGTTAATTTTCAGGATGGAATTTGCAAATTCTGACCGTACAGATATGTCCAGAATATTCCATATAGTTGGAAAGCACCATTGGATCACCAAAAACGGACTTCAAACGGCTCAAATCTAACAAAAAAAAATTGAACGGCTTAGATCGGCGAAATCTGGAACTTCTGAGAAGCACCGGATAATTTTTTCGAATCGAATGACGTTAGCGGCATGGCGGCTTGGCTTGGTCTGTGGCTTGGCGGCGCGACTCGGTCCGCGGCTTGGCTGGACTCGACGGCTCGGCTGAATGGCTTGGTGTGACGTCAGCAATGACGTCAACTCCAAGGATCCAGATCCGGGCTAATGGATCGGATTCCAGATGTGTTAGACCCTGCAACTCCGGGCGAAGAAGGCACGTGGCAGTGCATGGCGACGGCGTCAGACGGCGCGTGTGGCGCATGCGGGCTCTGTGGGCCTTGATTTTTGACGTGTTTTTTTTAGTGTGATCGTCTCGATGAGACCTACACACTGGTGTGATCAAAAATGAATTTCAACAACTTTGATTTCTGGGTAAATTTTGAAACAACGCTCTATTCTTGAAAATTTCGCAGAATGTCTGCAAATTCAAGCTACCTACGGCTCTGATACCACTGTTGGTGGGAGTGGGATGCAAACCACTGTTGGTGATTCACAATGAGAGATTTAAAACTGAACCAAACTGAAATTTCAATTCACTCAAAATAATTCTAAGAAAACAAACAAACAAAGCACTCTATTATTTCTTTCTCCCACACACTTATCACTCTGATACATTAGCTACTTATAGACAAACTAGAAATGTGAACACATTAAATGCAACTACGGCTAGCAGTGTGAACGCATTGAATGCTAGTAGCCAACCATCTTTGAAAATCTTGATTTCAACCATACTCCTTCTCTTAGGCCGGTGGAAATTATTATAGGTGAAGCAAGATTACTTCACAACAATGTTGTGATAAAGGTGATATTAAGGTTCATATCAGCATTGCATTAAATTACACAACCACAAGCCTCAATTTTCATTTGAATATAAACATGACGTGTGAAAGTTCACATCAGATAACGTTGTGATAAAGGTGATGTTAAGATTCACATCAACATTGCATCAAATTACACAACCACAATTCTCAACTTTCATCTGAATATAAACATGACGTGAATATTCATAATAAAAATAGGACAATCACATTATGTGTTGTCAATTACATGATATTGATATTTAATGTTAATTGTCATTACCAATAGTAATCACAATCACAAAAAGGAGAAATATAACATATTATCACTGCTTAAAAATAAGAATATTCACATATTGTGAACGTTCACATTACTATATTAGATGAGGGAGAATTTTTCAAAAATGTGTTGTGAACGTTGACATCAGATAAGAGAGAATTCTTACGGCGTTGAAGCCATTAAAGAACTTTCCGAAAATGTATCCATTTTATAAGATTATCAAATTTTTTAATAAGTTTGATGAAAATGGAGCTTTTTTGGTTTAGGGTTTAGGGACATTAAATATCGATATTAAACTTTGATGAAAAGGGAGCTTTTTTGGTTTAGGGTTTAGAGACATCAAATATCAACATTAAATATAAGGGCATAAGAGTCTAAGAAAATAGTGTAAATCAAGAAAAAAAGATTTTATGGAATAAAAGTATACATACATGGGACTAAGTGAGTTAAAAAATTCTTTCATGAATTTTTTAAATTAGAACACTTCCAAATGAGATTTATCAATAAAAATCTCAAAAAGTATACATTTTTTTAATGATAAATATGATAAATTGAACTAGTGTCCATTTTGTATTAGGTGAAAATTTTTGTATTTAATAGTCAAATGTATTAGGTGAAAATTTTTATTTATCTATTTAAAAGTGAGTCATATTGTGTCATTCATAAATTTGTAAAATACATAATTGGTCTAAAAAATGACATAAATATGCAATACTACTGAATAAAGCATTAAATAACTTTTCTTCAACAAAGTCGGCTAATATTATCACACTCATAAAATTTTAGCTAATAAGAATTTAGGGTTTAAATCAATCTTTAGCCACCACGACAGATTATTGCATAAAAGATTATTATAGAAAAATCTTATTTGTTGATTTTAATAACACCCACAGTAAGTATCATAAAATTATGAGAAATTTAGCTAAAATTCTTCCATTAAAACCTTATTTGATAAAAATAACAGTCCAATTTATTTTACTTTATAAACCTCCTAATGTTGTGTTTGATTTGGAGATTTGACAATAGATTTGGAAAAAGAAAGGGAAAAAATGTATGAAGTTAGGTGAAATATAAGTATATTTTATTCACATTTCACCTTCCTTTTCTATTTCTTTTTCCAAATCCTTCCTCAAATCTTCCAACCAAACATAGCATAAGGAGAAAGCACATAATTGAGCAAGGACAATGTAAATTATCCTTTTTTTTGTCCTTGGACAGTATTGTTAGAATAACATGTTACTGTTACTATGAGATAGAGTAACATGTTACTGTCAAATAAAGTAATATCATACCGCGAGAAAGAGTAGCATGTTATTGTCAAATAGAGTAACATGTTACTATTATTGTTTCACTACAAAAAATTTGACTTTTTGTGACAGTAAAATGCCGTCGCAAATACTCAAAATGCCGTCTCAAAAGGTTTTTTGCGATGGCAGATGACTTTTAGCGACAGCAAGTGGGGGGTCGCAACAAAGGGGGTTGCAAAAGGGTTTTAGCGACGGGACGTTGCTGTCGCCTTTTTTTTTTGCAACGGCAAAGTTGCCTTTTTGTGACGGCATTTTCCGTCGCCATTAATACGAAAAAATCTGAGATTTTTTGAGACGACACTGTGTTGCCGTTGCTAAAGGTGTTATTTGCGACGGCATTTTGCCGTCGCTAAAAAATATTTGAGACAGCACGATGCGCCGTCACTAAAAGATTATTTGCGACGGCAAAGAGTACCGTCGCAAAAAACTTTTGTCTCAATCTGCCACTATCATTTGCGACGGCAATGTGGTGCGGTCTCAAAAAAATAAATAAATAAATAAATAAATAAACTGCATTAAAATTATTAAAAATATGAAAATTACATGTATTAAATGAAAAATAATTAAAAAAGAAACCAATAATTACATAATAATATAAAAAATTCAGTACAAAAATAACTGTTCATCCATGATACAAATATTCTTGCATTCATTCATTACAACACATTAGCAAAATTATCCCACTACATAATATTACATAATACATACACAATGTTTAAATACATAATGTTGTTCACAATTCAAAATAACGTAAATCAAAAACAAAAGTTTCCCTCATGATTCTTCCGTGGATAACAAAAACAAAAGTAAATCGCAATCTTCACACGCTTGTATTCCACAATAAGCAAACTGCTACTCGGGAAATATCTGAAAACAAAAAATAAAAATAATTAATGAAAAACTTTAATATTCTTGAGCACACTTTGTTTGGCATAGCTTTTAATAAGTTAAAAATTAATAATTAGTAAACAGAAATTAAAAACATCATTTCTGTAACTTTCTAATAATAAATTTTTTCAAATCTTATTTAAATTAATTTCTTGGTAAGTTTTAAAAAGTTACATGCAGTAGTTCTCACCCATATTTTCAAAATAAAAAGGTGTAACAAACTCCAATAAGTTGCACCCAACAAGCCCTATCATGTGTCAATCCGTAGAAGATAGTTCCTAGGGTTTTCCATGTATGACAATAGTGTACCTATTAACCTAAGGAGAGAAAAAAAAACACTGCATGTTTAGCATCACTCGATGCTAACTAGCTCTACTGTGCACCCAAAAAATCACTGAAATTGGAATCACAGAATAGTTACATAACAAGCCTATTACTATGTAGATCTATAATCAGTAACTGTGTTTTATTCATCCAAACATAAACAAAACCTCCAAATATTGACAAAATAGGGAAGAGGAGGAGGGGTGGAGGTAAAAGTTACATAAATGTATTAGAATTACAATTTATCAGATGTTTTTTTTTTTTTTTGGCAGATAAGTAAATATAGCCGAATGATGAATTACACCACTTCCAAAAATCAACATAAAAGGAAAAATTAAAGACACTTAATGATCTTTTTAGTGCGCATTTGGTATGTATTAAGAATGTTCAAAATATAATCACCATCCAATTTTCATTTAATTATGCCTGTAGGAAAAGAAAAATATGATTAGAACTTCACTCATATATCCCGCAAAGTAAAATTAATCACTTTGTCACTTGGTTGAAATCTTATCGTGTGTTTGTCTAATGAATAATGCTTGCAGATTGCAGTTATTTGGTGAAATAATATAGGTCCAATACCTGGGTAAATCCATCTGGCCATGTCATTGATATAGCATAGTTTCCCATTGGACGAATTTCTTCAGGTTCAATATCTTCGGGAGCATCATTATACTGTAGTTTTTGCTCAATGTACCCACAAATTCAAGGATAAAAAGGGTAAAAATAACACTAAACCAAAAATTCTGAAAACAATCCTCTGAAACGAGTTTCAATAAAAGAAGCCGAGTACTTTGCCACTAACATTCTTTCTCCTAGCTTCTTCATGGTCCATAATACCCGTAGATGTTGTCAGCACAATGTACCCAAACTGCAAGATCATTACGCATCCATCATTATCACATAACCCAAAATGTAAATTATACAGTGATATCACAAACGAAGCATAAGAAAAATATAGGCACGGTGTACATTGTGAATGTTGCATATCACTCAAATTCAAAGAGTTCACAAAGGTATGAACGAAGTATAATTCTCCAATCAATTCCAAAAAATCCAGTAACTGTAGCCTCTAATTTTCATTTCAATGAGCAAGAACACCTCATTCATAGACTAAATAACAAATATTTTCCAAGGCTAACCTGTCTTGAGGGGAGCAATCTTGTCGTCCAAGGTTCAATCTCTTTGACCCCAACATCAAAACAAGGACTAATAACCCCACATTTGTTCAGCCTTCCATTCAATTCAACCACAATTTTTCCAGATCTGTGATCATCAACGTACTCAAACTCTCCAATGTAACCTACAACACCAATTGAAACTCGAATAAACATATCTTTACATATTTCAAACAAACTTGTTTCAACTTTCATGAGAATGAAGACTAAAATTTTAAAATTGATGGAGATGAATTATGCAAGAGGACAAACCATCCTTCTGCATGACAATAAGAAACTTGATTATCACTTTTGAGGATGGCCTGATCATGACCTGTCGTTTTCCTATCTTCTCTGCATTGTACATGCTCTTGAGAGCATCATTCAAGACACTAACTCTCACCATCCTCGCAAATGAAAAGTGCTGAAAAATTACAGCACAAATTAATTTGCTAAAACAGCACAAGAGATGTAGAGAGTTATCAGTTAGGAATAACAACAAAGAAGATACACCAGCTCCCACGGTGACGCAAACAGAGCATACCACGGCTATATAAGATTGTATTAAATGGAGGACTAACATTTACTTCCCCCACTCCAAATATAGATGGAGCAAATTACTACTGAAAGATTTCTATACGGTACCCATGAAAATAATTGGTGATTGCTAATTTGTAACCATTATGGTTGTATACACGGCCTCATTTCTCAAAATGTGGGCACCACCACTGTGAGAGGGTGGCTTGTTGATACTGCCAAAATGGCTGCAGATTTAACATTGCCCAATAATTTTTCGTCTTAAATGGGGATATGGATTCCACGTCTTTCATAGGATAGAAATAGAACACTTCAGTAAATATTCGGTGCCATAAATTGAAAATAAAAACCTTAATTACAATACCAAATTATACATATCTCAAGACAAAGATTCAATTATTCAAACAACTCAAGACATGCCAACTCTGTTCAACACATGTAGTTAAAATAAGGTAACACTGTAAAGTAATGTTCTTCAAACGAAGCACCATAACCTTTAACATGGTTTATGCCATACATCATTCCACCCATAAATGAAATTATAATCTTACTACAGAAAAGAAAGACAGTGCAGTCCATGTATGATCTATATGTATCCAGGATTAGTAATGAATAAATATAATATTGTACTACTAAAAATAAAAATAAAAAGCAAAAAACACATACAAATCAAAATTTCCAAGTTGCAGCTGCTGAAATATGTCTAAAAAAGATGTCAACAATTTAAACATGAAGACAATATTTGACTTCATCTAGAACAGGACCGCAAATCCATCAAATTTCAGCATCCACACTAGTCCACCATTTGTATTCAATCATATAAACCTACCATCTAGTAGTTTTTTCTTCTTTTCTTTTTTTTTTTAAATGAATAATCAATCTACGTGAATGAAATCTTAAAAAATGGATAAAGAAGTCAAAATGAGCTTGAAGCAATAAGTGGGAACAAACTTAAAATTTTATTAAAGAAACCAAAAGCACTGCAAACTCAAATAGAACCAACTGATTTCTTCAAGCACTGTCACAAAGTCACTGACCACATGCACATAACATACAAACATAAGTTGTACCTAACAAACATCAAATCATTTTCCTTTCAACATTTGCCTATCACCTTCAATAACATGATAAGCACCAATTATCATACTACTCAAAGCTCTATGATTGACAACCTAACAATTTATGAGGTGAATTAAAACTAATAAAGGACAAAAATCTAATAACCTAACCGAACATGCATACGACATCAAACCAGAATTGACACAGCAATTTGAGATTTGAAAGTGAATTAATAGACCCAATATCACAAACTAATAAATACACACATAAGATAATGCCGAATACGTGAAGACACTGACACTTCCAAACATGTACCATTACACTTTAGATACTTAGTAGACATGTGCTTTAGTGTTTAAACATGCATGAAATCAATCGCAAGTTTTGATGAAAATAGCTTGGAACCAATGATTAAAATAAAAAAGTGCATTTCTACCTATCAAAACGTCCATTTTAAGATTTTATATATATGAACCCTAAATTCTAAAACTTCTAATTCTACAGGTTCAATAAAATAGGTCCAATACCTGGGTAAAAAATAGCATTTCCAACTCCAAACAAAATTATCCTTGAATTACTTTTACCAAACATATTTCAAATGCTGGTTAAGGTGGAGTCCCATCCACCTCCATTTTTTTTCATAGCCATCTCTGAAAGAACATGAGGTACATTAGAAGATTAATTTCTCATTAGAGTTTTGTAAAAACTTAAGGTGCAAAATTTACCTGTTTCTGTGCATTTTCTCTCGGCAGATTCCAATGTATTACATAGCTTTTCCTTTTCCTTGATATGGCATTTTTCAACTTGTTGAAACCACTTTAAACAGAGCTTAAGTTTTCTTATGTGGTCATTCATTTGTTCCATTTTCCCCTATCAATTCAAAACACATATAACAATATAACAAACTACAAAAAGTTGTACTATTTGGAAAATATTTACCAAAAGTTGGGGGTTTTGCAACTTCCTCCTCATATTCTTCCTCCCTCCACCTTCACCGTCACCGTCATCGCCGTACCAGACCAAGAACTCGAATCGATGCTGGCGGTGTTGAGAACCAGAGGCTACAACCTCTTCTGCAACGCACTCACTACCTCCGACCTCTACTTCGATCTCCTCGCCGGAACTTCATTCACCGTCTTCGTCCCCACCGACTCTTCTCTCTTCGCTCTCGACATGACTTCTTCGGCCTCTGTTTACGTCACCGCCCTTCGCTACCACATCGTTCCTCTCCGGTTATCCCTCGCGGATCTCCAGAATCTCGCCTCCGGTTCCATTTTGCCCACGCTATTGCCGATTCACGATATTCAAGTTCAGAGGAGGCCCGAATCAGAAAACTTTACCGCCAATGGCGTTGATGTTGTGCCTGGTCTGTTCTTCGGCTGAAACATCGCGGTTCATGGATTGGGAGGTATTCTCAGTTTCAGAACACAGATCGGTCTAGGTCATGGATCTTCGCTTCCGTCACCGGCAAATTTGTACAATAATCAAAGTTGATATGGCTTTGGGGATTTTGCTTCAAAATGGTTTTGGGGATTTTGGTTTTAAAGATTTTAGGGATTTTGGGTTGGTTCATAAAGGTTTGGGGATTTTAGGGAAACACATGACCGTGAATAGGCTTAAAATGAACGAGATAGAAGAAATTTCATTATTTTTTGCGACGGCGTACTTAAACCGTCACAAATGATGAATCCTAACAAATAAAACGACGCCGTTTTAACAATTCTTTTGCGACAGTAAATGTTCCCGTCTCAAAAAAAATTTTGCGACGGTATATCAGGAGTCGCAAATGTTTTATGTTTTTTTTGTGATATATTCATTAGCGACGGGGTCACCACCGTCGCAAAAGACCATTTTTTGAAACGGTTTGAAAATGCCGTCGCAAAAGACCATTTTTTGAGACGGTTTGAAAACGCCATCGCAAAAGACCATTTTTTGCGACGGTACCTATACCGTCGCAAAAAGTTCCATGTTATTTGGGCTGTTTTCTTGTAGTGTTTACATCAATTTCAATGGTAATAAATTTTTTTTAAAGAATTTTATAGTCAACATGGATCTTATTTGATAGATCTTGATGAGAGAATTCTTAAAATACTAATTTTATTAAATTACATCAAAAGTTATATTATTTTAAAACTTAATATTTTGATAATAGTGATATGTGTTGAATTTTTTAAAGAATTTTTTTTGTATTCATCTTTAATGTATTAAAGTTTGATTGTGAGGGAGTTTTAACTAAATCCCTTAAAATTATTACAAAAAATTTTAAGCCATTAATTTCATAATCACTGCTCATATCGTAGTTATGCCACTTCACCCATTAAAATCAATTTAAAAAATTAAACTTTTAAATTATTGATATTAAAGTTAGAAAGTCAACTAAAATATCAATTTTCAAACGAAATTTAATTTACTTTAATCTAAATATTAATCAGCTTGATACATTACCCTATTATAAAATATAGTTTATAATAAAAAAAATAAAAATAAAATGGTAGATGCGTGTTGTGCGGCGAAGAGTGTCATACACAAGTAGATCACATTAATAGAAAGTACCTAAATTTTCTTTGAGCACAATAGTATGGGCTGCACAACAGGACATCCCTCCCATACCCACCACAGGTCATTTATTTAAGGAGATTATTTCTCCAAGTTTATCTGCTGTGTCTTTCAAAACACAAATGTCGAGATTATAGTATCTTGACATTTGTAAATTTATTATATTGAGAGACAGAGAGAGAAGAATTTAAAAACAAAAAATCTTCTGTCTTTCACACTACTAAAGATGAAGTACAGAATACAATACCAAAAAGCAGTGAACCATGCTCACTCACATGGGAATTGGATCTTCGAACAAAGAGATGACATTGTGTTTGATTATTTCCGGATGAGTATAGCCATCCACATACTTGTAAACCACATCCGAGATGCGCGAAAGGTTGAGAACACGGATCAGGAGTGTCATTGAGATGGCAGTTGGCTTAATCATTTCTTCATTGATATCCCTCCATGCATTCTCAATCATTTTATACAACTCCACAATCGCCTCTTGCTTTGAAACACCATGCTGCTTCATCATAAGTTCAGAACTCTCTTAAGAACATCAAGGAAAACTCTCAAAAATCTCCCAAGAAGACTTTAAACACAACCCTAGTTTGTTTTATCAGATCTAGGAAAAAACGTCCCAAACAAAACAACGTTAGCAGCTTTAAATAGGAATCTGAATCGCGATCTCCGCTCGAGCTCAACATAGCCCGCTCGAGCGGACTGAACAAAAACTGCATACGAAGAAACAGAGATGCGCTCGAGCGTAGGAGTTTCCGCTCGAGCGTCAAATCACACCCACCAGAATCTGTGCTTGCCCTGTCAAACTACTGTGACCTGCTAATCGACGCTCGAGCTCAAGAGTCTCCGCTCGAGCGGACAGTACAAAAACAGAAAAACATAGTTTTGAATCAACACAAGATTTTGTCTCCGGATTTGACAACACAGGGACCTAACAAATGTGATAGTCGTACATCGTGGCTCATTACGTCATCAACGAGTCGGCCAATAACACCAGAGGCAGCCACCATTTTAGGTTTAGTTAGAATCCATTCAAATGCCTCAGTGGTAGCAACATCTGCCTCTAAGCCCATGAAGCAAGATGTTGTGTGCAGTCGACCTGTGCTGGTTACCAAGGCATTTTTCATATACTCTTCAAATGATGCTACATATCCTTCCTTAAACCACTCTGCCTCAATTTCATAACTTCTCATTATTTCTTTGAACTGGTTAATTATAAGTCACATACACAAAAAAAAATAAAATTAATTAATCAAAATTCCATTTTGCTGATGGAATTAAAGTCTGAGAGTTGTTTTGGAAAATTGGTTAAAAGCTACCAAAATGCCTAATCATATGCCTAGTGCATTGGAATTGAAAAAAGTGAATCACACTAGGCATTTTAACTAACAAGTATTATATACCTAGTGCATTGGAGATGCTCTAAAAACCAAAAATTAGCTTTTAACCATGTTTCCAAATTGACCTTAATTATCATGAAGAAGAAGATAAAAAATTACTGCTGATTTTGTCTCAATTGATCAGGATTTATGACTCAATAATACAAATACACAGAAGAAAATCACAAAATAAGTTGCACGTGTCTCGCAAAAGGATTTTCATCTCTACACTTAATCTCTATTACTCACTCTCATATTGAAAACTTATGGTTCGAACTCCCACGAGGGTGGACCAATATAACATAAAATTTTAGACAAAACTTACCCGTAGTCCCCCATAAATTGTTTATTGTGTCAATATGCTTGAATAATCTTAATCGCGTCAATTTTATTTTTTAATTTTTCACATTGTATTGATTCAGTTCAATTAATAAACATTCATAAGAAAAGTGAATAGAAATTAAGAGCAAAATGGTCCATCCAAAATGGAATGGATCATTTTAAATTGGATACTAATTCTCAGTTGCTTTTGAGAAAAGTGAATGAACTATTTTATCTTGATTTCAGTCTAATTTCTAAAGAAATATTATCAATTTGACTATACTGACAAAATATGAAACATTCAAAGATAAATTGACACAATTAGAACTACAAGAGCCAAATGAAAACAAAAGGCAAACTATAGGAACTACGATTGTAATTTGTTCTTAAAAATTTTATTCTCTACTCTCCTCGTGCCCCCAACCTAGGACTTGAATCCAATAATTGCTGATATTTGTGAGACGAGAGAACTATAAATAAAGATTAATCACGGTCTCATAAGCAAGAATATATATATACACATGACATTGAAAAAAACCATACTGCATCTTTTGAATGATGAACACCATAAGCTCTCCCTTGCTTTGCCAAGTCCCTATCTACTTCATCATAGACGTTTAGGAGAGCTCTATAGAGTGCCTTCATGTAGTCTAGGAGCTCATCCATGGCACTCACATTCCACCTAAGAATTAACCACTTCAAGTCATAACATACTAATACAATCAAGAATGACTAAAATTTGACCATTAAATATTGATTAATATGTAGTTTGTCCCCCAAAAAATACATTTGTTCAATGAATTTCACCTTTCATGTATCAATACATTGTCAACATATAAAATATTGAAGTATTCAAAATTTGATAAAAAGAAATTTAATCACAATAGCATTTGTATAATTCCATTTTGGGACTTTAATTAAAGAAAGTAGGGAATACCTAATAATATTTAATGTGGAAATCTTACTATAATCTTATTTGAAACATTAGTTGAGGAAACTAGGGACTACCTATTGATAATATTTAATGAGGGGATCTAATAATAACAGTGTTTTGAAACAATAAAACTTTGGAAAAATTACAAAAAAAATCTTTAAAATTTGACCATTGTAACAAAATAAATTCTAAATTTTTTATTTTATCAATTTAAATCTTAATTTTTTGTTTTATTTTCAATTAAAATACCTTTTTTTGTTGAGTTTAATAACTAAGATATTATTTACTTTTATTAGTTTTACTTAACGAAAATAGACATATGGTTTAAATTAAAAACAAATCAAAAGTTAAAGATTTAAATTAAGAAACTCTAGAGTTTTTTTATTTTTATTTTTATTTTCTAACTTTCCCTTAATTCTTTTATTTTATTTTATTTTAACACTAGATAAGGATGCGCCTCAAACTACTAGGCCAACTGTTTGGTCATTTTAGAATAATAATGTTATAAATACAAAGAGATATATCAATGAACAGAATGATTTTAAAAAAAAAATTAATGATGAATAAAAAAGATAAAGGGATAATTATACATAAATAAAAAACCTCCAATATTTGACCTTTATAACAAAACAAACTCTGAGTTATTAATTTTATTAATTTAAATACTAATCTTTTGATTGTTTTCAGTTTAAACCATTTACCTATTTTCGTCAAGTAAAACTGAAAGAAAAATAGTATTTTAGTCAATAATCTCGATGTACATATACATAAAATGTCTAAAATATTTTTTTTATTGAGTTTAATGACTAAAATATCATTTTTTTTGTGTGTGTTAATTTTACTTAGCAAACATAGCCAGATTGTTTAAATTGAAAACAAATCAAAAAATTAAATTTAAATTAATAAAATTAAAAACCTGAGATTTTTTTTTTTTTTTTATATACCCAGGATAAATAAATTGATTGGTATAGAAAATTGTACCTTTGGACTGCATTAGTGTAAAGTTTGAGTTCATCATAGGTACCATATGCATCATAAGTATCGTCGGTAACGGATAACAAAAGCATAATTTTGGTGAGCACCGCACGTCCAACAGAGTGTTGAGGTTCGTAATATGCACATGTTGACCAAAAAAAGCACTCCACTGCTCTATCCCTCGCATATGGAACTTTCGATATTAAATCCAACTCTTTCCACCACCTACATAAACAAATAAAAATTTTATTTTATTTATTTATTGTTTTTAACCAAAAATAATAATAATAATCACAAAACAAAGGATTATGTATTTAAAAAATAAGATTAATTACAGTTTTCACCCTAAAGTTTGATCCTAATTTCATTTTAATCCCTATAATTCAATTAAAATAATTTTGTCCTTACACTTTAAGTGGTCGT